AGAGAGAAAATAAAAAAGTCGTTGCTCGTCTGCAACTTATTGTATTTTATTTGTGGTTGATACAATCTTATCAGCTAATTTTCCTTAACCCTGGCTACGTACATAACTAAATTAAACCAAATATTAGGTTAGGTTCAAACTATGAAAACGAAGAAATGTTGTTTAGACCCTTCAATGAATGATGTCGTGAATTCTGATGAGAAAATTGTTAGTGATAGAATGAGGTATGAATATCAAGAAAATATCTTTATTTTATTCTATTTTCGCTAACTACTCCTATGGGGAGGGATAAATTTCTTATGCAAGATACAATCCACAATGCATTCATGGAAAAGGGCACAATATCTCTAGAATGCTTGTATTGTAAAACAATTTTTTTAAACATCAATATCAGGCAAAAAGTATTAAGTACATATGAATATAAACAAATGTGACTTTTAGTAACCGCTTTTGGATATTTTGTCTAGCCTAATAATGTCCACACAATATTCAAAATTATTTGATGTTATTCAAAACTATATTTTTAGCAATATTTTGGTCAGAAATATTTACTAAAATTGACAAAGTAGTACAATTTGAATATCAGAATTTGAAATTAATTATGAAGAATAACCATGAAGTGAATTAATGTGAATGCTATTTATGAATTTCCCGAACCCAGTTCTAAGATTGTCTCCGGCAAAGTTATACACCACATTTTGCACATATTATGTTACTTTTCATATGGCATCTTCTCTGTCTACAACGCATTCTGTTGGCGGACACAAGAGGCCAATGCCTTTTAACGAAAGAGCATCCATCGGTGGAAGGACAACGAGCAGCTCTTTCTGGTGTTGATGGGTGATCACTATCAATACTCTGGCGACCACGGCGACTCAATTTGTTTCCCATCCACAGGCATGTTACGGTTTCAGTGCGGGAATCTCTTATTGAAAGCGGATTACAGAAGTTTACTTCCTCGCAAAGAAGTCATGAATTGACACATGACATGTCCATGTTAATCTGGCGGACCGGTAAAGTTGAATAAAATGTACTCGCGGACCAGCAAAAAATTGAAATGAATGGAACATGATATAAAAACATTTATTTTTGTAATAAATGCAATGGCGGTCACTTACTATGCTTCTATGTAAAAAAGCACACAGAAAACAAATCACATAAAGAAAAACTATCAAATAATGTGCTGGAAAAAAATTGAAGTGTGTGCGAGATTCAACGGAGCGCTTTCGCGCTGAATCGGAACACGAAAAATGTGATTACACAGCGCCAAGACGACGCCGGGCGCACCTTTTTAATATGATGGCGGTAGAGAAATTGCGTAATAAATCAACACAACTTCATCTTTTCGGTTTCGGTAAAGCGATTGAGACGGCATAAAAACAAATCTCTCGCGGACTGCAGAAAAGCTTCGCGGACCTGCGGTTGGGAACCACTGCACTGGATGGTAGAAAATTTTCCCTTCAAGCTGCTATCCTAAATATGCTGAATATGATGCGAATCATGATTTCAATCTACTTCACCTTCATCTTCGCTTTTAGGCAGATCATAAACTAGTTTTTTAGACCGATCACGGCCAATAGTGTCACGACTAACATATATCTAACATATAATAAGTACATAGATCTAAATCTAAAAACAGTGTCTCTTTAAGCCGATTCAGCTATTTCAGTATTCAAGTCTTTTTTCTTTGCGTTCAAACTATCCTGTCATTACTGACGTGACAATCAAAAAGGCTTGATAATGGTAAAAGAGTAACAGAAAAGAACTACTAAAGCTAGAATAAACCTTACCGGTGACAACTCAGGAATTAGTCTACTGGCTTAGAAGTGAAATGTGGCTGAATTTCACCAATCAAAATTCTGAAACTAATTACCAATGACTACAGAATTTCCCAGAGACCCAGAATTTTCGATGGCTGAATTATAGAATAACTGAATAATTAAATAATATTATAAAAATAAATACATATATAAACATGCTCAATTACTGAAATATATAAACCTGCACACCAGTAGATCAATAAAAAAACACAGACGACGCAGAACCTAAAAGTTCATATCTCTAAATCAGTGGCTCTTAAACTGAAAAGTAAATAAAATACCAGAAAGTATATTTAATTTAGTCCAATGAAAATGCATATAAAGTATATTTGTAAATGAAAGATACATATTCATCCACTCGAAATCCCCGCGGTACTGCTCCTGAAACAGTCCTCGAGATTACGCCACTCGTTAAAAGAGTCGACTTTTTCAACGGATATGTAAAGGTTTTTGTGTTGAATAAAATATTCAGTCTATGACCGATATACCTATTTAAAATGGTTGCTTTATTTGTTTAGTTGTGAAAAATTAAATCTGCGATTGCATCGATAAAAGAGCACCACTGCTTCAAAATACCACGGTAATCCGCGGACATAAAAATGTGTAGCAAAGTGCCCGATTACATTTTTTTTATTTGTTTTCTTGCAAATTACACCAATATGAGCTGTCCCTGCAACTCTTACTTCGCTCTATCGCATTGCTGCCACTCTATCAATTTTAAGATATCACCGTTCGAGAAATTCCTAAGTCTGCGATGAAATCCCACGGAGTGAATTTATTTCAAGTCGGTAGTTTTAGAACACTACAGGTGTGCCGCACTCACAAAGTATTTATAAGATATGCAATGTCTAAGAAAGTGTTTTTAATTTGTCGCGGTCCATCCCCAAACAAGACGTTTTCCGTTTTAATTTTTAGTTCTTTATAATGCTGCTTTTTCAAGCAAGAAATTTTTGGTTGCGGATTTACTTCTTTATTCTATCTTTAGCAACTAGTCGCTGATGATTATATAATAAAAACTAATTCGTTTTCCTCACAGGTTCATAGTTCCATTCGAGAACAAAAAAAAGTAATTATTATCGTCTTCGCACGAAAATATATCGAGGGAAATTTCTGATTTTGGGCGAAGTTTGTAAATTTTTCAAAAGGGCACGCGGCTCAAAAAGTTTAAGAACCACTGCTCTAAATGTATGATGTGCAAAATTTGGCACACGCATTTCTACCGAAATACTTCAAAATGCTGAAGAAATAAGTAAAACTCGCTAAGCTAGGCCTCGTCATCGCTACATTATCCGCCACTACAGATTTTTTTCATGTCTCTCAGCCCAGCTGACACAAGATTACAATCAGCAAGAAATAACCTATAAGTGACCCCGCACGGAAACTGAAACCCACCTAGGAAACTCTGAATATTTCTTCGTTCGTTGAGCCATGGAAATAATGCGTTGCATGCAGATAAATAGTAAATGCGTTACTCAACAGCATAACCAAGGGGGCCAGTACAACGTTTTCCGCGATGTACCAAGTTTGCCCCACTATGCATTAAACGATTAAAGTGTTCCTCTATCAGCTTTCTCTCATATCGACTATGATTTTTTTTATATAAAAGCTCAAATTGCTATGAAATACTACATATAATAGAATAAGAGATGATAGGAAATTTATTTTTATACATTTATTTCCTTTTTTTTAAGCAACGCACATGTTGAACAATTGATTATTTAAAATCAATAAAGAAAATTGATTATTTCCAATAAAAAGCTTTTATTATCATAAATAGTATACATATATTTCCCTAGAAGTGTTTTATTCTATTTCTTCAAACAGATATTTCTTTATATTCACAGTTGCAATTATGAACAATTACAATCAAAAACAAATATTATTTGGTATCACAGAAGAATGTTGCTTAACTTCCACAAATATCAAAGGTTTGGAATAAATTGTAATTAATTGAGAAAAAGGATAAAACCTTAATGTGCGTATGTAGTATAAAGCTATAATATTTCCTAAAACAATATTCTCTTACTTTTCATCAATAGGTTATTTCTTCACATGCATAGTTACTGGGCAAACGAATAAAACCAGAGCAAATATTATTGAAATAACTCAAGAAAATTGATAAATTTCAATAAAAAACACAGGTTTCCAACAAATATTAATTAATTAAGATACTAACCGTATCATTTAACCTAATAAAGTATATATTGTATACAGATAAAACATTTTCTATTCTATTCCATATTCTATTCATGGAGTTGGTATTTTATCATATACATAGTTGATAGGAACATTGATTACTTCCAATTAAAAAACATGGCTAGTTCAATTTGCAATTGAATAAGCAAATAAGTAAAACTTTATATAGGCATATATAATATATGGGCATATAAACTTATATTTCACTATGACCATAGATACTTGAAGCAAAAACAGTTAAAAGCTGAAATATGATAATTATTTTATTTTCAATAAAAATTAGACTTTTTCATAGTTGTATACAGTATATAACGGTGAAATATTTCATATTGCGTTATCATCCTATTTCATCAAATGAGTATTTTTGCATGTGCATAGTTGCTGGGAACATAAAAAATAAAATCAATATAAATTTTATTTAATATTGCTTGGAAAAATTATTATTTCCAATAAATATAATTTTTGATCAATTTGTAATTGATTATGCAAATAGGTAAAACTTTTATAGCTATTTAAGGTAAATATTTTTTGCATGTTACCATTCTATTTCATCGAACTGATATTTCTTCTTACGCATAGCTACTTAAAACATAAACAATCAAAGTCTAAACGAATAATGTTCAAAATACCTGAAAAAAAGGATAATTATTTCTAATGAAAAACGCAGGTTTCTATCAGTTTTTAATTGATTACGTAAATATATAAAGGTGTTATAGGAATATATAGTATTTTGGTGGAACATTTTCTGGCACATTTATTTTATTTTATGAATCTGATATTTCTCTATATGCATAGATTCTAGAAACCAACCACTTAAGTACAAAACAAATAATATTGAATATCACTGAACAAAATTGAATATTTTTAATAAAAAAGCACAGGTTTTTATCAACTTGTGATTGTTTAAGCAAATAGGTATAAATATTACACGTATATGTCGTGTATAGATGAATTATTTTTTTAGCACGACATTGTCCTTTTTCATTAAACTGATATTTCTTCATAAGCATTGTTGGTGAGAATTGAATCTACGTTTTCATACTTGTAATGCACGTTGAGATAACCTTCAGAATCTGAGAAAAAGGGTTGAATACTTTGAAATCAATTATGTATTGGCACATTTAGATTCTATTATTTTAAGGGTTTTCAAACTCAGATAATTTTTAATTCATAATGTCGACTGGTTGAACTATGTTTGCCTTAATATTTCTTGCGTTGAAGGTACTATCTATGTTTTGTATCTAACCTTGGCTCTTTACTGGCGGCGATTGAATTCCGATAGGGTTAATCGAAGGTTGCTCATAAGTATGATCGTCATTTTCTTCTATTCGAACATTTCGTCTTGAATAAGATTTGAAATAACATTGTAAATTAAGTGAAAACAACTGAGAACATATAATTAAAACATTTATAGTAATACCTCATGGAGTTATCACAACAATCCTGAAATATATTATTGACTAATTTATTGGGCAGTCAGAATGTTTTGAGATTTACTATTCTCTCTCATATTCCAGTGATGCCATGGTATAGTGCATTTGCCTATAAATCCCATATGCGAGATCGATATTGCCGATCGATATGCAAGGAAAAGAGTTCCTTTTTGGACGAGCTTTACGTCACCTACGAACTAAAACAAGAATGGACTTTTGAAGGGAAGTGATATTCTTTTTATCGAAGAGTATTTGATCGCGTGCTGTCTGGTATATTTGTTTCTTTATTTTGAGCCGGAGAACGTTGCTCGCGCGTTCAAAACACTTCGTTTTCAACTAACAACAGATTCTTTGTTTATTTTTAAGCTTTGAAATACTCATACAAATAAAATTGACCTTGTAGTAAAATAAAAATTATTCATCGAAAAAATATGATGACGTCGTCGTGGTTAAGAACACTTGGATCAAGCATGGATTATAGTAGGATGCTAAAAAATAATTACATTTGTTAGTGCCGACAAAATTTAAATACTTTAGACATAGCATAGGACTGAAAATAATATATAATTGACAAATCATATTCAAAATTAATAAATTTCCCAAGATCTTGGGGTTTAGGAGAAAAAGGGTTTAAAATATTCACTTTTTTCTGACTAATAGGACGATCAGTACAACAACGACTGCAATCACGAATGCGCCAACGACAACTCCAGCTATCCAGACAAAGTTTGACTCTGTGTAAGTAAAAATTGCTTGTTTTTACTGAAATATAATTCATGTCATTATATTTTGAATTACTATATGAAAAATATTCTTAAGCTCAATTAGTAAATACAGTTCATTCGTGTTTTTTTCAGGATAAAATTAAATTACTTCTATTTAAGATTACTATGTAGAAAACAATATTCCCCCAAGTTTTTTCTTAATCGTTTCACAAGTAAGTCATCTAATTTTTAATAAATATCAAATTCCAACTACAGAAGTTGTGAATACCTTTAGTTTTCTTCAGGATGAATACCGCAGAAGAACTGCGTTGTAAAAATACTTTATCCGAAGTCACTGAGTAAGTTGAAGTAACTGCGTAGTAGCTGTGAAATATTAGGATAATATTATAGATCGTATTTCCGGAATAAATTTTTTATCAGAAGAATTCGAACTAGTAATTGAGGGTAATACAAAGCGCTGTGGTTGAATTGCATGATTATAAAACAAAAATGAACTAGCGTATTCTATAGATTGCGTTTCTGCGGGACTAATTACTCATTATTATTCTATGCTTTTGCGCTGGTGGATCTGTATCCGCATCCGCTGCTGTAGCAAGTCTGACGGTACAGTGTTGTCAGACCAAGGTACTTTTTCATGCATATATGATCCGACCTTGTTCAGACAAAATGTTGCAGAAATATATCAAGGTTGTTGTGCAACAAGACCCTTGAATCAATTAAACTAGCGTAAATGAAAACAGACCAAAACGAATCAAAACTATAATCGTTAAGCAACTCTTACGTGTATGTAGAACCTATTTCGAGCGGCAAGTTCCTTCCAGATATGTATCCTGTTACTGCACGTTTGACCCTAGTTAAATTAGTTGACATACTAGTTGATAGATTGCAGAAACTGTTGGTGTCGTCTCCAAGAGATATTTGCATCTTAGTACCTTTTATTTTTGACCTTTAATATTGAATTGAACATTAGTATGTTCGCATTTGGTATTTCTATGTTATCGTAACAAACGTGACCTTGCCCGAGGGTAGAGAATTAATAGAATTAGAATTAAAAATATTCTTTAGTAATTTCGAATTCATAGCCCAATTCATTACACCCTTGTAAGCCTGTGGACTTTGATGAGTGTCTAGTTTTAATTTTCATCGGAATTAGTACAATACGGTATAAAATTTTTTTTTGGCTTTGTGCAAGGTTTCCATTGTGCACTGAGGCTGTTGTTTGAAACGTGTAATATGTTCATACCGTTGCACTGCAAATGCGAGATATTCATTTTCTTCTGATTTTCCGACCAATGCGTTTTCTGATAACCGAGTCAACTTTTCTGTTGTAATTTCATCTAAAATTCTCCCACCGGATTTCACGATTATGAATATACAACTGCAAAACAATAAATATTCACAAAAAGTTAATCCAGTCCAGTAAAGTTTTATGTAAAATTTTCTTGGAAAACAACTTTGAAAAATTTGAGTTCAGAAAAGAAAATCTCAAGAAATCCAATCGTCAAACAAGTTATTTTTGAGAGTGAAATTCAATGCTCAAATGATTAAAGTTCCACATTGTTTCCATTTTTTTTCCTAAAAACAGATTTAACTATTTTGAAAAAACACGATACTGTAAAGCAGGGGTCACCAAACTTTTTTGACCGCGAGCCGGGTATGACTCAAATTGTGTTGAAACGGGCCGGATGAATATTTTTGGACACGAAATGGACATAACGATCGTTTCAATATTATGTTGTTGTTGTTCTTTGACACGTTTTTAAAAAGTCGCTTTTCTCTTCGAATACTGGACCAATTGCTATGAAATTTTCAGTGGTTAAAGATTAATTTTTTCGCTAGAAGGCTATTACTTTTATTTATTTCAAAATTTTGCGTGAATTCTATGAAATTTGATATTTCGTCTAAAATTTTGCTGTATTATTTTTTATCCATGGGAACACGGATTTTAGTCAGTGTCATGACTGGCTGTACGTTTTGATTCTGCAAAATTCTTGCTACTGGAAATTCAGAACTTTTTTGAGAGCACCGGTAGCGTCAAAGGTACCGGTAAGGACTGATTCGCTCTGGTCTAACGTGTCCATATATTTGTGCGTAGCTCTCTTGTTGTCAATGCAACACAATAAATTCACAAATGTTGGGAATATCGCTGAATATAGAACGAGAACATCCTAGGAAAAAAATTAACAAGATTTCTATATCTAGACAATTATCCTGAGTTTAGCTGTTATCAAAACGTTGCTGTCATGAATTAGAAATGTTACAAAATCCTCGGCAAAAAATGTACGCATCACGTCTGCTCGTAAATATATACTACTACGGTCTGCTAAGTACCGTTACGCCGAGTTGAAATACCTCTCATAAAAACGACTATCTGCTGTAGCTTGGAATTCTATGAAATTTTGACATAATTTAGATAAAATAAACAACTATTATCTGGTATTTGATTTTTTTCATTAGCCCATAAATTTCCCAACATTCGACGCTTTTAAAAATTACGCTCCAGTTATACGTAGTGCAAATTAATGATATTGTCTATGGACACCAATAAAATGTATGTGGACGTGTGTATTTCTTTCCTAACTTGATACAGTTTTTATGAAGTTCGTACAATCAGCACATCGTTAATTATTACCCACAATGAACCACTGTCAAACTATCATGCACAACTCCAGCGTTTATTTGCGACGATCTTTCGGCGGTGTCAATGACCGTTGCCAGAATAAAAGTCTGAAATAGTCTCAATATACCATAGATGTGACGCACATCGAAAGATTAGTGATTGATATGTGTTATTTTTCCATATTTAGTTCAGTTCTTATCAAAAAAGTAATACAATCATTATGGACAAAAATTGGCCTGTCGGGCGGTACTAAAATTCCGATATTCCTTGACCGTTTACTATAAACTTGGTATTGTTTTCTATTTTTACTCAGATCTTTCCACTGGAGCAGTTTTTATTTAAATCGGATGGACTTCAATTTTTTTGTAACATACCTACATGAATATCCGCATTAAAGCAGTACAAAAGTTAGTGTGGCTTTTGAAATTGGAACAGTACGCGAGGGATTACAGTACTGCACAAATGCACATTCGACGTTTATTTTAGCACAAAAAACAAACAGTTTCGTCGAAAGCACGCGCCACGAGTGTACAAGTGTTTCACAGAAAACGTTACGTACTGGTAGCATTCAAAGTCGCAAAAACGAAGTTTTGGTTACAACCACGACTGGAAATCTGTCAGGGTGACAAAAGTGTCTGAGCGAACGCGGAAAGGTCTATTATTACGTCACTTTTTTGCATCTTGCCGATTGGCCAATGTTACGAAATAAACAAAGACGACGATGCTCGTGAAAATCTCCCTTGGAAAAAAATTTAAAAAATTTATTATTTAATTTAAAAAAAAATTTTGTGTGTTATTGCGGATCGGATAAAATGACGCCGCGGGCCGGATAAAATGACGTCGCGGGCCGGATCCGGCCCGCGGGCCGTAGTTTGGTGACCCCTGCTGTAAAGCGTTCATTCAATTTAAATTCAAAAGTTGTGACATATATTCGATGGACTTCGAGATAATAGAATGAAGAAATAAAATCAGCAAGATAGGGAGACTATGAAAACTTGATACTCGATTGATATTATTTATACCTTATTGGTCCTCTTGTTTCATCTGGAATGGTGATGTCTATCAACTGTGTGGCCTTTCTTACTTCTGACCAGACTGCTGTTGGTACAGGAACGTTTTCTGGTGCTGTAAATAAAAATAAAAAAAACTCAATAAGACAAAGAGAATTAATAACCATCAGCGTGTTACTATTTTATAGGTTTGTAATTTGATATGAAAAAGTTTCACCTGCCACATTTGTAAGGCATTCTCCAATTGCTGTTATTCTATTGCTTCTTCCAATGCAAGTCTTTGCATTAATATAGAAAGTGTAATTGCGATTCGGCTTAGTTTCAATTCGAACACGAAACGAATCTAATGATTTGCCTTCGTATAAATGTTTCTCGGTGAATGTATGTTGGTGTACGTTTGAAGACAGATAAACAAGCGTTGCATTCTCGATTATCTAGTAAATAGTTGGGAATAACTTTTGAGAACATTCAATATTTTGATTGGTACTGATATATTTTCTATCTCGATACTATTTTTCTGGTTTGTAATTGTTTTTGGAAGAGAACAAAGAACGCAAACCTATCTAAGTTGCTAGTGCACATGTTACTTTTTACGGGTATCAAATATATTTTGTGAAAGAAAATTACTACATCAATTCCTCAATTATTCTCTATATTACCTCAAATGTTGCGTCCGTTTTTAACTTTGACTCCAGCCATGCCCAGGTCAGATTACATTCACTTTCTGATATTTTTATAACCCGAGCGTCGGTAACTGGATTCGGCAAACCCATTCTTGTTTGGATTACTGTTTGTGCATAAAGGCTGATTATGCACTCATCTGGACACACGGTTATCTGAAACGGTATGAGAGAAAATAACATTTATTGTGTTTGATATTAAGTTTTTATTGATAACGTATTGACCTTGAATCTAGAAGTCTGTCTAGTAGATAGCATGGACTGGAACATTCAAACGTTTTATATAAAAAGTTGAGTTGTTTAAAAATAAATTTTGAGTTGAACGTGACTTTGCTGTTCCGGAAACATTTCTCATGTACTTTTGTTACTTAAAATTCATTTGTATTTACTCCCGTAAACAACGATTTTATGATTGCTAGCGGTTTAATTTTACAACGTTCAATTGTTTTACCTTGATTGCATAGTTAGTGTCAGCAGAAAGCTTCTCAATTGTTGTACTTTCGTGTATTTGTGCTGTTATGGTTCGCGTGTAATCAGCTACAGTGTTACCTTCGCGAGTTGCTGAAATTCTGAATGAAAAGCTCAAAATTAGGAAATGATTTTTTAACAATAGAGGTTCTACTAGACTAAAGACATACGTATATAAACTTTTATAAATTCATAACGCAACATTTCTTTTTAGCAAAGTCAGATTTCGTGAAGAGAACAAGTATAGTATATGTACTGTTCAGATATAAAACCTAAAAAAAATAATTTTTATAATTGTCAATTTGTTTGACACGATTAATTTTTATGGCAAATTTTATCTTATGAAAACAATTTTTGGTCTATTACAGAATAGCAACATAGCAACGCGTTTCATCGTTTTTATATTTAAAATTGAAATTAATTCACCAATGAGTATGCTGCAATTTAATTGAGGAAGGTTGAGCAAAAAAAATCGGAAGCATTACAAACAGAAATAGCTGGCACTTTTTATTCGTTTTTTTTTTACCTGATTACATGTCTTTCGTATACATTAAAATTTTCGGTATTAAAGTTGATATCCAGCTATATTTTATTTGTTACCTATGGACGACGCCAACTGTTTGACTGCTAGGTTTCCATTCAATTAGGACCTTTCCTCCAACACTGCATTCTTCTACTTTTTGATTTAGTATCACAGGGGATCCGTACACTGTAAAATTATAGAATATTCTCTTTATTAGAGTTGTGTACAATTTGATTTTTGATAAAAATCCACTAATCTGACTACAAAATTTAATCTGTATTCAAATACAATCATAATCGTCATAATATTGCTTGGTGGTGATTCTTCACTAACTTTCTGTTACCTTTTACTCTGACATTAGTTCGAAATGGTGCAAGGAACGTCATTGTGTAAATATTTTATTATAATATAATCTTAATATTTTTATCAATTGCGTTCGCACAACAACTAAAAAAAGTATGGCACTGTTGAGATATTCAGGGGCATTACCAGACCCCGTTTTTCGAACTTAAAACTGATTCAGGACACACAATATCGCTTTTTCTATTTAAGTTCAACTGATATTTTTACCTGTTAATTCTATCTTTTGTTCATCTTTGGTATTCTGAGCCGGTTCTCCTATATTGTTAGTGGCACGACATGTGTAAATTCCACTATCAGTCAATGCTGCATTCATTATATAAAGTGAAGAGTTTCCTGTGATTTTTACTTGATATATGGAGCTATCTTCGCCCAATGGAACCGTAACTTCATTTCTGATCCAAACCACATCTGCAGAAGGTGAACCTGATGCTTCGCAGATCACGTGATTCGGGCCGGTGGTTACTGGGGAAGAGATTGACGTTGGGAATATGTTGGTGATGTTCACAGGATCTGAAAACAATTATCGGCAACAATTATTGTTTCTTGCATTGGAGATGCGATTTCGTGAATTCATTCATCTTAGTGGTTTTCACACTGTTCATATAGATTACAATTATTTTAAATCGTATTGTTTCTGCCTCTTACAGATTCCCGATTGGTAATACACGGAAGAAAGTCTCAAAAACGTGTATCTGTGCGCAATACTAATAGTATCCGATCAACAGAATCTTTGTTTGATTTTATAATCAGTAAATTTCACCAAATGTGCAATAGTATTTACTTTCTCTTATATGTTTTCTCAATCTCAGGTGTATAATATTAGATTTATTTTTATTGGAGAATATGGTTAGGGCAGTAGCGCTTTAAACGTAATAAACGATAACAAGAACACGCAAATTACGCCAACAGTGATATCGATTATCCGTATAAATTATATTGCCAGTAATAAAAAAACAGTATTGCGCAGTATAGTACATATTAAATGCCTGCATAACTGACGAAGTGCAAGCTTCATATAATTTGGTTAACTACATTTTGAGACTTCATAGGCAAAGTGTGGAAATTTTGTTTAGGCATTCGAAACGTTGGTGAAACGGATATTATATGAATCATAAAGTTCACATTGGCTCACTATAATTAAGCCTGTAAGAACACTTGTTAGAGAAATAAGAAATATTTAATAATAGAAAAAGATTCGAACCTAAAAACCCTGGTCATAAATACAAATACAGAAGGTACGATATATGTCTGTCGCTCTAAGAATATCAAACTTCATCATCAGAACATGATTATATAAGCCCAAAACCTCGATGACCAATCAGTGATTGCTTGTAAGGAGAGAATTTGCGGAACACTTCACGTAAATATCATGACATCATTCTTATTTGTATTAAAGGCATGACTGGCAAACTAATTTTATATATGATGTTGAGGTGTCAATCAAAAGGTCTTCATTAGCGTAATGTTCTAATTTTGCATCCCGCAAAACAAATAATATGATTTATATTTATTCACAGTACCGTAATTTACGGACCATAAGGCGCACTGTTAATATTTTGCTCAGATTGGAGTTTTGTCCGTGCATAAGGCGCATCTAGCGCAAGACAATATTGAAACGGCGTTTTTTTTTTATATAAATCAATAGTACCGGTACTGGTTTCAAGTGTAGTCAACAAAGCACCACTTCGGCGCCAATTATAAGGCGCACGATCGATATCTGATAAAATAAAGGAATTTAAAATATTGAAATAAATAAAGAAGGTACGCTGAGGGCCAAGGCCGGCAAGTACGACAATTCCGACATTTCCAGGTCTGGTTCCGGAATTCGTCAGTTTCACATTTTTTATGAAACATTTTCTCACACACTGTCCACTGCAATGTTTCAGATCCATCACAAGACATCCTGTAATGGCAAAATACTCTGCAAGTCCATCGAAGGCATGTTTTGGGTACTTGGGTAGAATGTTATTCAGGTTTAATGTGACTCCAAAAAACGTCAATATCATTTTGAATAAATGCCATTTCGAGCCCTTCATTAAATTTATTGCTATACGTCAGTAAACAGGGATCTATATTTTTACAAATCGCTAGGACGTTGGCTATAGCGAAATACCCACATTCATTTCCTCGCTGCTGTTGAACAGCCATCACTTCAATTGTGATGCTGTCACTATTGGTCCCACTGAGATGACAAACTGCTGTTTGTACGATTTCAGGATAATTACTCGATAAAAGACTGTCATACACTGATGCATGATTTTATTCAGGAAACTGACCCGAAATAGTTATCTTATCCAGTGATTTTTTCTGATGTTTATTATTTGAACAAAGGTATTACAGGATTTTATCGGGAATCCTTCCACTGTCGATATTATTACATCCTTCAGTCCTGATAAATGAAGATATTTTATTTTCATTAACACCATTGCTGCTTTTATAATTCTATCATTTAAAAATAATTTATCCCGTATAATTTGTTGGTCAATCAAGTCCAAATGAAGACATTCCAACCAATGGTTACTAAGAAATGGATTTTTTTCCCAACAGAGAATCCTCTGGGGGTTTATCTAATTTTGTGCGGTCAAATCCGTTATCGATGAAATTTAATAAATGTCATTCACTAACGCCCGGGCTGTGGACAGAACTGAAGTGAAAAAGGTCCAATATTCTGCCTCTGGTTGGCTTCGAAGTTTAAGAACAAAGAGCCTCGTTGAATAAATTTATGTTATGTTGTTAGAAATTACTCTGTCCCCCTATAAAAATGAGCTCCACATAGCGGAATCATAGCGACTATGAGATTTTTATATTACTGTTTTTATTGCAATAAAAGACTACATAAAACATAGCTAGCAAGATTATTATCAATAAAAAACACAGGTTTTAATCAATTTGTAATTGATTAGACAAAAATTGTTTAGGTATTTATACGTAAAAAAAATTGCACGATATTATTCTATTTCATCCCACAGGTATTTCCTCATATGCATAGTTACAGAGAACATGAACTGGGAACATGGAAACAAATATTATTTATTATCACTCATGAATGATTAATTGATTAATAATGATTAATAATAAATACAGGGTCCCATCATTTTTGTAATTGATTATGCTAATAGGTATAATTTTTGAAGGTATATATTGTATGTAGATAAAACATTTTCTATTCTATTTAACGGAAATGATAAATGTTCTTATACCTAGTTGCTAGGAGCACTACTTATTTCCATAAAAAAAGGTCAACTAAATTCATTTAAAATTACAGACTTTGATTATTTTGTAATTGATTAAGCAATGGATAAAATTTCCATGGGCGTATACGGTATATAGGTGTAATATTTTATATTGCGATCATATCCTATTTCATCAAACTAATACTTTTTTATGTGCACAAATTGCTAGGAACGTGGACAGTAAAATTAAAACGAATTGTATTTAATATCACTTTAGAAAATTGAATATTTTCAATAAAAATCATAGGTTTTGATCAATCTGTGTTGTTCTTGTAAACTTTTATAGGTATATATGTAAAATATTTTCAGCATGTTGTTATTCTATTTCATTATACTGATACTTCTTCATATGCATAGTTGTTAGGAACACAAACATTTAAAATCAATACAAATTTTATTTATTTTTTTGCCGGAGAAAATTGATTATTTCCAATATTTATTATTAATTTATATCGATCAAATTTTAGTAGATTGAGCAAATAGGTAAAAATTTTATAGGTTTGATATTTGTAATCGATTAGGTAAATAGTACAAACTCTAAGGTATACAAGAATAATATTTTCTAGCTCGATACTCCTATATTTCATCAGAATGATATTTATTCTTATGCATAGTTACTAGAAACATAAACAATTAGAATCGAAAAGACTATTATTTAATAATAACTGAAAAAATTGTTTATTTATGATGAAAAACACAGGATTCTATCAACCTATAATTGATTAAGAAAACAGGAAAATTTTATAGAAATATATGAAGGTTAAATAATTTCTAGCACGATACTATACTGATATATATTTTTATGCATAGTTAATAAAGACATTATATTTATATTTAAAACATTATTATTTAATATACCTGAAAAAAATTGATCAATTCTCATGAAAAACACGGGATTTTATTAATTTTAATTGATTAAGCAAATAGGAATAATTTTTGAAGATAAATATTCCTTTTCGGTAAAGATTTGCTACAATGATGTCATCTGTTTCACCAAATTGATAATTTTTCTCATGCATAGATACTAGAAACATAAACAATTGAGCAAAAACGACTAATATTTAATATAACTGAAAATAATTGATTGTTTCTGATGAAAAACAAGTTTGAATCAATTTTTAATTGATTAGGAAAATATATAAAAGTGTTATATAGTATATAGTTGAAACATTTTCTAGCACAATATTTTATTTCATTTCGTGAAACTGATATTTCTTTAAATGCATAATTGCTAGAAACAAACCACGTGGGTACAAAACTAATATTATTAAATATCACTGAACACAAAGTAGATTATTTTCAATAAAAATGCACAGCTTTTTATCAACTTAGCAAATAGGTATAAATTTTACAGGTATAAGTAGTATATAGTTAAATCAGTTTTCTAGCAAGACATTGTCATTTTTTCATTAAACTGTTATTTCTTCATGAGCATTGTTGGTGGGAATTGAATCTACGTTTTCATAATTGTAATGCACGTTGAGATAACCTGCAGAATCTGAGAAAAAGTGTTGATTACTTTGAAATCAATTATGTATTAGCACATTTAGATTCTAGTATCTTAAAGGTTTCTAAAGTCAGATACTTTTCAAAGACCTCCTGAAGTTACTATTGAGTAGTAAGAGAAATTACAAAGTCCAAAAGCATAGAGAAAATAAGAAAAATGAGTTTGTATTGTATCTAACCTTGGCTTTTTACTGGCGGCGATTAAATTCCGATAGGATTAATTGAAGGTTGCTCATAAGTATGATCGTCATTTTCTTCTTTTTGAACATTTCGTCTTGAAAAAAATTTGAATAACATGGTAAATTTATTGAAAATAACTCGAAACAATAACTGAGAATTTTATAGTATTACATCCTGAGGGTGTCACAATTTTTATCAACTATCAAGTTAGGCAGTCAGAATGTTTTGAGAATTACTATTTTTTTTCATTTTCCGTCGGTGCCATGATATAGTGCATTTGCTTATAATTCTTAATCTAGGAACAGAAAAATTCATGCGAGATAAATAATTTATGAATATTTATGCCCTCTGAGACATAATTTAATGAATAAGACATTCTTACTTTTTCCTGACTAAAAGAACAGACTGACTAAAAGTACTAATCAGTACAACAACGACTGCAATCACGAGTGCGCCAACGACAACTGCAGCTATCCAGACAATGTTCGACCCTGTGTGAGTAAAAGTTGCTTGTTTTTACAAGAATATAACTCATGTCACTATATTTTGAATCAGTATTCGGAACATGATATTGGGCTCAATTGTTAAGTACGGTTTATTTGTAGTTATTGAAGGATAACATTGAATTAATATTATTTGAGATTACTATGTAACAAACCTTTTTTCTTCAAAGTTTATTTTTGATCGTTCCACAAAAGTAAACGACTTAATTTTTAAGTTGGATCAAACTACAAGTACAGAAACATTAAATACCTTCCGTTTTCTTTAGGTTGAATGCCGCAGAAGAACTGCGTTGAAGCAAAACTTCACCCGAAGTCACTGAGTAAGTTGAAGTAACTGCGTAGTAGCTGTGACAATATTAGCATACTATTGGGGACCATATATTCTGGTTAACAAATTTCAAAAAAATTCGAGCTGGCATTAAAAGACAATAAGAAGAACTGTTGATGAATTGGGAAATATAAAACAAAAACTAAACGAGTGTATTCTATCGATTGGCTTTCTGTCGGACTATCTACTCATTCTTCTTCTATGCTTTTGATCTGTATACGATGCCGTAGCAGGAATGACGATAACTATTCTAAATATTTCAAGCCTTGCTGCACGCTAACACAAATATATTTTTGTAACTTATTGTTTGACCAAAGTCAGACTTCTTCAGGCACATATGATTCAACCTGCATTAGTCAGAGAAAACATTGCAGAAATATATCTGTGTTAGCCTGCAGCATGACCCATAAATTACGGAAAATACCTTAACATAGAATACCTTTTAACAAATAAAAACGCCATGGTTAAGCAACTCTTACGTGTATGTTGAACCTATTTTGAGCGGCAAGTTCCTTCCAGATATGTATTCCGTTACTGCACGTTTGGCTCTAGTCGTACCCGTTAAAAGATGACAGAAACTTGCTTTGTCGTCTCCTAGAGATACTTGCACCTTTGGATCTTTAATTTTTGACCTTTAATATTGAATTGTATATCATTTGACTACAGTTGGGATTTGTTACGCTTACGTAACAAACATGACGATGCTTGAGGGAAGAGGATTACTTGGATTTTGAATAGGACTTGTCCAAATCATTTGCTGATAAATAGACTAATACTTTTCACCTGATGTGACTATTTTGCGAAAATGCGGCAGAACGGTTTGGAATTTCGTCAAAAAGAAAAAGGATAGTTCAAAGTTGATGCAACCATAAAACTAGACAAAATATGAAAATGATGCAGGAACAAGTTGAACTGGTTTTTAAAAATAATGAATTTTGATGGCATTCAACAAGATTTCGCCAATGAACTAAACAGAAACAACACTCCTGGGAACACATGCATTTAGGAAAAATGAATTAAACTTTGCTTCTCCTATATTAAAAGTTGGAGTATTGAGAAAGTTTGAACAAATTTGAAAGCCAAGTTTTGTGTTTGGTGATCTAGTGCTTTAAGGGTTGGAGATTGACTTAGGTTCCAAATGTCAATCCGTACCTATGATTGAAAAATTACATTTTACGCCCATACCTTTGCATTGCAATTGCGAGAAATTCGTTTTCTTCTGATTTTCCAATCAATGCATTTTTTGATAATCGAGTCAACTTTTCCATCGTGATTTCATCTTCTGATTCACTTTCACCAGATTTTACTATTACAAGCAAGCAGCTGCGAAATATAAAATCTAATTAAATACATTTAAAAAAAAAATGGGAAAATAAACGTTTCATGATAAGAAATATAAATTGGATACGACAAAAATTTCTAATTAGGTGAAATTCTCCTGAAATTGGGAATCAACTTAAAAACCACGAATATAGTACAGATCAATTGTTTACACTGAATTCTCATTAACCTTAAAAATATAATGTTTAATTATAAAAAAAAACATTCTGTATAGATTCGTATAGAATCTATACAAAGATTCAAATATAATTTTTGAATTGATTCAAAACGCATCAACATGCCTGAAATATTGAGAGAAAAACTAATTATCTAGGATTGAACATGAACTCGTGAATCATTATATTTCTGTAAGCCTTGCTATTACACTCTACCTAAAACATAACATTGACGAAATATGAAATTTCATACCCTATTGGTCCTCTCGTTTCATCAGGAAAGGTGATATCTATCAACTGGGTCGCTGAGTTTTCTTCTGTCTGAACTGTTGTCGGTACAGGAACGTGTTCTGGTGCTGCAAACAAAAATGATTGATTGAGGACATGTGTGACGTCACACACAGAGAATGAATAATCAACGACCTATTGTAAATTCTATCTTCAATTTTTTCTGGTCGGACAAAATTTAATTAGAAGTTTTACCTGCCACGTTTGTAAGGCACTCTCCAATTGCTGCTATTCTGTTGCTTTCTCCAGCGCAATTCTTTGCATTAACATAGAAAGTGTAATTGCGATTCGGCTTTGTTTCAATTTGAACACGAAATGAATCTAATGATTTGCCTTCGTATAAATATTTCTTGGTGAATGTATGTTGTTGTATGTTCGAAGACAGAAAAACAAGTGTTGCGTTCTCGATTATCTAGAAAAATGTATTATATTGTTAGACTTGTCGCATACGAGTCTTATATTTCTTTTGCGTTGAGAGAATTATTCCCGATAAAAGTACAAGATACCCAAACGATTTACGCGATGAGTGTTCATATGAATAACACCATCCTACAACATTGCCACTTATTGTTGGGTAATAGCGATGTATAGATAAAAATATACTTTTAAGAACAATTAGGTGGCCTTTATTGGAAAAGTACACTTATAATTTGTATTACAATATATACTATATTATGGGTTGTAATTGCTTTAATATGGAATTGCAACTATCGTCTCATTTCCTCAATTATTCTTTATATTACCTCAAATGTTTCATTCGTTTTCAACTTTGTCTCCGACCAGTCCCAGGTCACGGCACAATGACTTTCTGATACTTTTGTAACTCGAGCGTTAGTGACGGGATCTGGTAAACCAATCCCGGTTTTGATTACTGTTTGTGCATGGAGTTTGGTTATGCACTCATCTGGACAAACGGTTATCTGAAACGGTATGGGATAAAGAAATTAACATTGTTCGAGATTAATATTAGGTTTATATTGACTACCTGTTGATTTTGAATCTGTAATCTGTCTAAATAGCACATGGACAGGTAATTCAGACGTTTTATATAAAAAGTTGAATAATAATTTGCATCCAAAATTAAATCTTGAGCTATATGCGACTTCACCATTTTGAGACCATTTCACGAGCAATTTTATTAGGATCAAATACAATGATATATATATTCTAGTATTTTTAGGTTATCAACGTTTAATTAGTTTTCATCACTAGTTTTACCTTGATAGTATAGTTAGTATAAGGAGCAAGCTTTTCAATTGTTGTTATTTCATGCGTTTGTGCTGTAATGTTTTGTGTGTATATGGCGACAGTGTCACCTTCGCGAGTTGCCGAAATTCTTGAAAAAAAAATTACTAATTAGGTAATGCTTTTCATAGGATGAGCATATACAGACCATATAATTTTACTTCACACTTTTGCACAAATTTGACTAAATTCATCTGACTAAATTCAGAATGCGGGAAGTGAACTAATACAGTATTCAACATGCAAGTCTTGAAACTTTCGAGAATGTCAACTTATTCGGTACAATGCTAAATAGGAACCCAGTATGTGAATACATATTTCTACATTCTGTTTTTTCTTACCTGTGAACGACGCCGATTGTTTGATAGTTAGGTTTCCATTCAATTGGGATCTTTTCTCCAACACTGCATTCCACTACTTTGCTATCAGTTATGACAGGTGATCCGTACACTGGGAAATATAGAATATACTCTTTATCGGTGTCTGTTGTAAAATAAGTCTTCATATTACATAATTAATTTTGCTCAATCAAGCAGACTTTGTATATTTCTCCAAAATTATTTGAACTTATTAAACTATATTGTTTAGTATGACTTCTTTAGTAAGTCTGCAATTTCATATATATATATTATTTTGAGTCTTTTGCGCTGTTGATATTCTTACGAGTATTGACAGACCCCGTTTGCCAAACATCAAACAGGTTCAGTACCAAACATCCGTTTTAGATTTAATTAATTTTTTCACCTGATAATTCTATCTCTCGTTCATCTTTGGTTTCTTGAGCAGGTTCCCCAATATTGTTGGTGGCGCGGCATGTATAAGTTCCAGTATCCGACAATACTGCATTCATTATATAGAGGATAGATTTTCCAGTGGATTTCCATTGATATACAAAGCTATCTCCGTTTAATGGAACCGACCTTCCATTTCTTATCCAAACCACCTGTGCAGAGGGCGCACCGGATGCCTCACAGGTCACGTATTGTAGACCAGAGGTTACAGGAGATGAGATTGCAGTTGGGAATATGTTGGTGATGTTTACAGGATCTGCAAAACAATGGTTAACAATTAGGTAAAATGTTTCTTGCGTTAGAGATGCGATTCTGTGAATGTATTCATCTTTAAAGTTTTCCGTCCGTCCGTATATCAATTCCAATTATTTCGAAACGTATTGTTTGTGCCATTTACAGATTCCCAATTGATAATACACGAAGGAAGTCCCAGACGCGTGTCTGTGCGCAATACTAATAATATTGTTTCAAGGCTGCGCCGTGAAACAGTTTTTGATCAACAGAATATTTGCTTGAATTTTTCATCAGCGAATATTACCAGATGTGCACGAAAAATATTTACATTCTCTTGTATCGTTTTTGCAATCTGGCGTGTATAAAGGTAGATTTATTTTCATTTGAAAATATTGGTCAGTTAAGGCGCTTTAAAAGTAGTAAACCATAATAAATAATGCGAATTACTCGTATCAGGGATATCGATTATCACTTATCAGTGGCCATTATATTACTATTAAAGAAAGGCAGTATCGTGCCGTTTCAAGCATCCTAAGAAAAGTGTTAAGATTCTGTATAGGCATCCGAAACCTTGGCAAAACGCAGGTCAGATGAATTATAACGTTCACCTTGACTAACTAGAATTACGACTGTAAAAACCCCTTTGTCTGAGATATCATAAATATTTGATAATAGATAAAGATTCGAACCTAGAACCCTGGTTATGACTATAAATACAGGAAATACAATATATGCCGGTTTCTCTAAAAACATAAATCTCATAATCAGAGCATGGTTATGTAAGCCAAAAAACCTGATGACCTGTGAGCGATTGCTTGTTAGGAAAGAATTTGCGGAACACCTCGCGTAAATATCAAGACATCATTTCTTTTCGTATCAAAGGGAATGACTGGTAAACTATTTATATAGTATGTTGTTATGTCGATCGAAAGGTCTTCATTAGCGCAATTATCGAATTTTCTGTAGGCATCCGGCAAAACAAATCGTGTGATTTATATTTACTCACTGTATCGTACTTTACGGACAACAATGCAAACAACCGAAACCAAACCACAACCAAAAGAAAACAACCGTCAATAAGTTGCTGTGATTGGAGTTATGTCCGAGCATTAGGCGTATCTAGCGCAAGACAAGACCGAAACGGCGGTTTGTTTATATAAAACAATGGTACCGGTACTGTTTTCAAGTGTTGACCATAAAGAACTACACCGGCGCAATCTATAGGGCCCAAGATCGATATTTAAGAAAATAATGGAATTTAAAATAAGAAAATTTTAAAATAAATAAAGAAGGTACGCCAAAATCTTCTTATCAATCAGCATCTGAATGCCTGAACAAAGAGAGTTGCGGAACACCTCGCGATAATGTCATTCAAACATCTTGATTATATAAGATAATAAAAATCTTGATCACATTAATATTCGCATATCTAATTTTTGCGTAATACAAATCAACTTACAGTGTACATTTAGTCGAACTGTCGCCAATTTTGTATACGATTTCGATTCGACAGTTAAAGTTACCACGAATTCATAAATAACGTATTGGAAGTCGTTAATTGGAGTAGTATTGTAAGTGTAAGAACTGATGACTCCGCTAATACTTCGAACGGAATTTGTTTTATTCGGGAGTTTGAACACTTGCATCCTCACAGCACCACCAGAGCTATGTATCTTCACGTTGATAGATGCTGTATTACCACGTACTACTACCATTACTTTGTTTGTTGGTGTGATAGTGAGAAGATCTGAAACAATATTAAACGTATGTTAAAATCGCGAGTTCACTATCTCAGGTTCAAATCCTATACACACCACCTCACTCAGAGTGTGTTACTCTGACAGGCAATGTAAGATAATGCTACTTCCATTCATAGCATATACACCCCTGTCTTATATTATGCAAAGGACCTCGAAATGTCCTGATACATCATTGCTTTGGCCATACATTGTTTGGAGAAATTGCAATTACGCTAAATGTGAACCTCACAAAATTAAATTCAGTTGTGATTCAGACAGACTAATTATTTAGCAAATGTATTCTGTAAAAAAAATCTAAGAGGCAAATCAAGTTTTAATGATTTTTTTGAACAAATCAAAAATCGCAATAGAATGAAAAAATACTTTTTGCATTTAGGCATTCGGACTTGTCGTTAACATCTATTGTGAATGCCTATAGTCCTACACTGTTTCATCAAAATAACAATGCTAAACTTGGTATATTCGATACCATATTGTAAACTTTGGGTAATACAGAAATAGTTAAAATGAATTTTAATTCAAAACATTGATCTTCCAAATTTGGACAAATAACGTCCATTTTACTGCAAAGCAAGCCATACAGATCCCTTATATGACATAGTTTTACATTTTTCATATTTTCACTTAAAAAAATGATTATGCAATTAGACTTTCCCTACCTGACTGACAGATGTATCGCCTGTTTGCGGTACATGTAATATCTGTCCATTTTTCGTCAGAGTGTCTAATAGCTACACATATACTTCCATCGTTACCTTCATTCCATGCCCTGTGCAAATGAATAAATGTGGACTGTATCAGACTATTTATTCTAAATTTGTTTGATCAATTTCAATTTTATGAAATAGAAGAAGTGTAACACAGATTTATAAAATTTTGACACAGGCTTTAAGATATATTTTGAATGCGATGTCAGTTTGGTTCGTTTATTGCATGAAAAAAATGAGGATGCAACACTGACATTTTCGCCATTCAGCAGCTTACCAATTCATATCTGTAGCACGAACCCCATCGGACCATACCCAAGGGTATGCAGATCAATGCTTACCGGTTATTGACCCCCTTGGATTGGATAATTGATTTTTAAACTCTTGTTGCTTGTGCCGATTCAAATATGAAGCTCAACATGAAATGAATTTTAACAACTTTTATTTGAATGAAACATGCCTTTTACAAGAGGCTTGTTGGCGTATGAAGTTACACAAGGTATAAAAAATAAGGGGGGATGCAAAGGGTTTCGAGTATATTTTTTATTTTTAATCCAGTCTAATAGCTTACCAATTCATAGGCCAAACAGCACGAACTCCATCGGACCATGTCCAATATCCGAAACTTTTCGTGAGTCCAATAAAGTAATCTCCGGTTGAATTTGATGCAGTTGCGCCACTGTAATGAAATAATATAAACATTATGTAATTTAAATAGTCAATGCTGATTTTAATAAAATTTTTGGAAAAAGTATCAACAGTTTTAAACATAGTTTTTAAATATAAATGTTCCTCATTCATCGGGTGGGCAATTATATATTTATATGGAAATAAAAGCTCAGAATGCTTTTTGGGAAAGGAGAAATCAAAAATTTCTTGTAAACAGAATGCAAAAATCTGTCAGTCCTAACGTGGCTAAATTTGAGCCCATAAATAAATTTCATTAACGCTTTTATAGCACGGTGTGGAGATGGACGAATTCGGGCGGATTCGAATCTAAAAACGCCGGATACCAGGATTTGGTCCTTGCGTCCATGCGTATATAAACAGGACGTAAAAATCTGTATCTACTTATTCTAGCCAATGAAATACAATACATTTTCTCTGAAATTGTACATGAATGTTTAGCTGAGTAATATATAAAAATAAATTACTCGAGAAGAACTTTAACTTCGTCTTGCATATTTTTATCTTTTATCCGCACTAGCCATGCGCTACGTGCCTTGCATTCCTGTTCTGCTGCATTCATGGTTTGTACTTCAGTATCGAATCTTTCGAGTAAGTATCCATCGTCGGTCTTTTTAGTTTTTGCAGGATCTATAACAAAGTAAATAAGTAAATAGGGAAAATACGAAATTTTCTTCTTGCTAATCTCATAATTTACTCCGTACAGGGCTCTTTTCAACCAACCATGGAATTGTTTTGTCAAGTTTTATTTGAGCGTATCCTTCCCAAGAAGTTCATGGAAATTTAATTGATGTTACGAATATATATTTTAATTTATGCAACGAATACCAATCATGATAACGATTTAAGCTATTAACCACGAGCTCTAATGCTGGGACCGGTACCATCATCCACTGCCCTGAAAAAATGATAAAAAAGCTCTTAGATTCCGATAAATTCAACTATAAGAATGGTCTTTTGAGCAAATTTAATTTTTTCAAAAAAAAAATTTGTGAAATTGTAGCATCGCAGTGAACCTTAATGTACAATCATGTTTTTTAATGAGTATGTAAAAACCTATTTCGCGCATGACCAGTAATAAACCAGTAATATAGACCAGTAATATAGAACAACAAGAACCATTGATAACCAGTCATATGAAACAAATGCTCAAGACTCATAAAATCGTGATAGTATACGGTTTCCGGTCAGTCGTACAAAATAAGCGACAGATTTTCATCTAATCAATTCCCCTCCTCCCTTTGCATGTCTCGATCTCTTGTTATAAACACAATGATCATTTAGTGATCAATTAATATTGTAATTATTTTAAGGTTCATCGACTGTTTTTTTTACAGGCTCGGTGCGTCAGAGTGACGTGTTTGAATACGTTGTTGGTTTTATTGAATAATGACGTCTCACCTACCTTGAGCATTGACAAACAAGTGTTTACTTTGTGAAAGTAAATGAAACAGGCTTAATAAAATATGTCCAGATAATTTCAAGTCCATTGTATTTGTTTGTTTGGTCAGTAATAGATCAGTTAATTATAATCCATCATGTAAATGTATCTTGTACCTATATTTCAACTGAGAAAAAAATTTGAATCGATACAATTTAAAATAAGATTACACTAAGTCTCTAATCAAGCCTAATTCCTGCTTTGAGTTTTACATTTTTTTTATATATTATTATATATATAAGTATATTTTTATTTCAACCATTTGCCTAAGGCTTTATATCTGTATTACCAAATTTTTATATTGTTACTACAAACATCATATTTCAAATCTGATGGTCAAGCAAACATTATGCGCGTTATTATCGCTTCCTGGTTAAATTTGGTACAGGCAGTCGAAAGTTCAAAACTCTCATTTGTTCAATGCAGCACCTAACTAATTGGATGTGATAATTTTTTTATTATTTCAAATTTCCGCTAACTTTCGAGCAATTGCTGTTGTAACCAAGTTCCAACTTTTTCAATATCATGTAATTTGGCTTGTTTTAACTTGTTTTTAAAAAAAAAGCCTTCCAAATTTTGTTGAAAAATTATTTTGCTTTGTCGACGCATTCGATTAACATTGTTTGTTCAGCCAAATGTCTTTTTGGAGAAGACACTCGTTCAAAAAATGATATGACGTTTGAAGATTCGTGTTTTTATGTTTCTTGTGTATGAGTATAGATTAGTATTACTCATTTTATTAATCATGGACGCTTACGTCTTCTCGCTAATAGTCAGGCAGGAAACTTGGATACAAGACTCACCCAGAACAGGTTAGAAATCGGATATAAAAAAAGGTAAAAAATTATTCTAAATTTTCGGAGGATTATGTATACGTCAGATGATGATTATGACAGGGATGGCTCAGGTCTGATTAAGAGTTTAAATAGTTGAATTCAAAAGGATAGTGTTCCAATATTCGAGTTCAGTGGTATTTCCGGGTTTGGGCCCAAAACTATGTTTGAAAACTTAGTACTATAGTATTGACCGTGAAAACAAATAGTAATAAAATAGTAATAATAGTATTAAAAACTCCACGCTGGCTGCTATATAATTTCTTACCAAATATAGTGTGCTTAGCTTGTTTAGAAAAAATTGAATACCGTGAAATTCAGAGAAACTATGTCACGACAACACACTCATATTATTTTCTCAACCGTTAGATAAGACCATTCTCACTCATAGTAAAATCACTTTACAATCAAGGATTATGTCAAAGTCTAAAAAATATCAGGTATCTTTGAACATAGGAATATTATCTAGCATTTTACAGGATTCTATATAAAGTATTTTTATATTATTTATAAGCCTCCTACAAAGTATTTATGAATACGGAAATGTATGAACTTCTTCAGTGTTTGTTAAAAAAAACCAAAATATTGTGTTATTGTATCTGCTATCCATCCTATAGTATCTTAATCTAAGAAATCGAACCAAATGTTAAATCTGTTTAGCAAAACTATCTCGTTCGAATGCAATGAAATTTGGGAAACATGTCATCATGTCATAAATAAGTGGAAATTACGTTTACCCAGTGGTAAACGTAATGAACGTAGAATGCGGGTATAATTGATTCCCGACATTCTGACCTCCATATAATTATTGAGTAACTTAGATCTACAAAACATGACTACTGACTGACTGTAAATAATTGCTTACACAATGTAGTTAGTACCATTTTCTCACAATGGATCATAAGCCTGTTCTGCAGCAGGTTTTAATTTAACTAATTATAATATTACGTTTTTGATACATGATTATATTTTTCACACAAATTGTTTTTCGCGGACTGTCAGTTACGTGACTCACTCCATACTTCGCCATAAACCTTCTTATATTCATTCTCAGAGTAGATCATCGAACCCTGTCTACCTATCACTCACCATATGGTGCACATTTGTTTGCGTCGTAAAATGATTTTGTGATAAAAGACTACTCCGTATCTAGGCTTCACGTGTTGTAGCTGTCAATGCTCACTTTTCGCATTTCTATCTTCAGGATTAATATGAGAAACCCTATCCTATATTCCACCAATGGAATGATAAACAGTGTATAACACTGCAGCGTCTCGTAAGCGCACTGATTTACTAGTAACACTTGCTAACGTGCTCAGGAATCTCTTAGTCACAGTTTTTCCGCCGACTTCATGATGAGTAATTTAATGTTTATTGCGACTGACGTCTGTGAGTGGATAAGCATATTATTTTTAGTATTATATCCACGATGCATTTATTGTTTTTATTGGAGTGGGGGTTGTAATTTAGTATAGCAGGATATTCTTCCGCAAGCGCAGATAACACATTTTCACGTCCGGTTTTTGTTTTCATTAAACAATTATTTTATCCTCCATATTGAGTATAGACGGTAGATAAAATATTGAAACATCACTGCTTTTCAATAATCTTACAATTGTGGGCTTGGTGCTGGTGCGATTGGTGTTGACGTGATAAGTCTGAATAACATTGACTACTGAAAGTACCGCAAAAGGGCAAATCTCAAATATATGTCGAGAAACATCAAATGTCATAAAAAAGTGTTACCATATATCATATGAAACGTTTTCATAGATTGAAAAAAGCAGCAACATTTTGGATGAAATATCGGTTTTCGTAGGACCCAGGAAAAATATCTGTAAAAATCTTACAACGACTTCAATCATCTCTGAGTTCTAAAAATTTGTTCTGTTCGTTTGAAAAATGGAAATTCCACAGCAACAAAAATTGAGCAAAAATATCCATTTTTGCATTTCGTGTCCACAATACATTAAATTATTATTTTCGAACCAGATGGAAATTTAATTGTTGACTCCTCAAGTTTGAAGTTCTTCCACAATACTACGAGGCTACACTCCCTTCTGACCTAATATCACTCTGTTCTTGTTCTTGTCTCAGAGAATTATAGATATGAATATTGCGACAGCAACAACCGGCATGAACATGTCCGAGTTTCGATTAACGTCATGCTATATTGAGCCAATGACTGCAATATCGTTTTGTATTGTGCGCAGTTTGATGATTTGTTTGTCACATTTTGTTGAACCTGATCAACTCTTATTACCTTTTAAACAAATTAACGATCCTGAATGACACAGGAAAAGGTTTATTTATACGATTCTCGCGTTGAGAACCTTCTCACCAAGCAACTCGAAAAACAATTTTTCTAATCAGTATTTTTTCACGTAATATCGTAACGAGCGCTGGTGAACCTTTTTAAAGCGAAATTGAAACAGGATCACAACAGAAGCAATTCATTCACCAATATTTTGCCATTGAGTTTTTTCATTCATTCACAATATCTAAAATCTGATATTTTATACAGACGTATAGGAATAGAACGGTCTGACCACTTATAGAACAAATACATGACATTTGAGCTAAATTGCCACGTATTACGTTTTTGTCTTTCCGAAATCGGCCTTCGATAGATTAGCTCAACACCATGATAAGTAGAATAAGAATTAACGCTAATTATACAGACATTCGCCACAATCACTTTATTTCATTGTGTCTGAATTCGAAGTTATGTTCGAAAGTCGGAAAATATTGCAGTATACACGGCGTTAATAAGTACAACGTGAATCGCCATCCGTTTTCGCTCAACTTTAGCATAAATTAAAAGTTCGTTCTGTTATAGCAAAGCATTGTCCAGGGTTGTGCCCGTTCTGAGCTAAAGCGTTTTCATTCAAAGCCCAAAATTTGATCTAAGCAATAAATCTAAGTATATCATCACGAACAAAAGCTTATGCTATAAAATATAAATAATCTATAATTAATTAATTCGTTATTTATTTCAAACAGAAACACAAATTCGGGTCAATCTTCTTCCACTAACACAATAAAAAGCTACTATCTACAAATCCATATGAGCTCCACATTTAGAATGTGACTCTCCAAACATGCAACAAATAGCCTGCCACTGATTTCTATATGAGATTACGCAGAACCTAATTATTACGCATTTCCGCACTTCGGTCATATCAGAATCAGAAACCTGACACCGTTTGATCCGACCAGTTGCTTTTAAAAACATTCAACTATTTTACTGACATTTCAAGGTTCATATCAACTTTTGTTGTATCCGATAAATTTGAAAAATAAATGATCTCTATTTTTGTATTTCATATGCATAAAGTTTCAATAAAGTCCCTTTATAATTTCAATTTTGTTATGACGTCAGTTTTCAATATCGCTTAAACCAGGTTCGTTGTTTTTTAATCAGTAATTGTTTACGTATTTTACTTCATTTAGTACATCTGTTGAGGGCCGAAACAATACATGATATCGATAAATTTCCTTTTCAATTTTCAATTTTTTTAATACTATATGGACATCCCATAACCACAAGCCATTCAGTTGAACTCGAGTCCATGCGTCAACTCAGGTCAGTGCATTTCCGATTCACCTATATGATGAGAATCAAGGCAGATTTTACAAGCTACAGCAAAGTACGTAAATGGAGCTCACGCAGACAATAAATAAATGAATCTCCCTGTCGTACAAAAAAATGGGTTTAATTAAGTTTAATTTCAACAATATATTATGGTCGGTTTATTTGCACTGTATGTTATTACAATGTTGTATTGGTATTACATATTATAACACGGCGTCCTATGACAATTTCCATTTTATCACTGTAACATCAATAAGCGTCGTTGTGAATGATACTATAGCCGGAAACTTCTTCATTCGAAAAATCGATAGAGAGTATTTTCAAGGTTCCGATCTTTGTTGATATCAGCTTTTTGTGTAGAGTTTTTAAAACTTAAGTCTCCCCTATACTGGGTACTAATCTTTCTACTTGTTATTGACATCATCTTTTCATTAACAACATAGATTATTGTAACCTAACAGCTTTTAAAAAGTTTTATTTATTAGGTATTGCTTGGCTGTACATGCATGGAAAAATTGAACTCGTATACTCAGCACAAATGTCCATCGGTGCAAATATATGTAGCTTCAATTGTCTGTGGGTAAAAATGTCTGTGAGTGCAAATATCCGCGGATCGAAATATCCATGAGTGCAAATAATGGTGGATGCAAATGTCAACTGGTGAAAATGCCCACGGGTGCCATTGTCTGTAGATGCAACTGTTCATGGGTGCAAATGTACACTGGTGCAAATGTCCATGAGTATAAACTGCCGTGCAAATTTCATCTGATACGTTTGCTCATGGTAACAATCGTTTGTGCGTGCAAATGTTCTAATGCCATTCATTAAGTACTCAAACACAGGGGGTTGGT